AAGTGAGTTCCAGGAAAGGCGCAAAGCTACACAGAGAAACCCTGTCTCGAAAAAAAACAAACAAAAAAAAAAACATAAAATGAATCAAAAAGTCTAAATATTTCCTGAAAGAATTAAAATACATCAGTGGGAGGGGCTGGAGAGATGGCTCAGTGATTAAGAGTATTTGTTGCTCTTTCAGAAGACCAGAGTTTGGTTTTTCGAGACAGGGTTTCTCTGAGTAGCTTTGCGCCTTTTCCTGGAACTCAATTGGTAGCCCAGGCTGGCCTCGAACTCACAGAGATCCGCCTGCCTCTGCCTCCCGAGTGCTGGGATTAAAGGCGTGCACCACCACCGACCGGCATGAGGACCAGAGTTTGGATCCCAGTACCCTCATTAGATGGCTTATAATCACATGTAACTCCAGTTCAAGAGAATCCAAAACCCTTTCTAAGCTTAATTTTTGCATATGTACTCTCGTGTACATACCCACACACAGTCACAGACAAACATGATTAAAAGTGAAAAAAAAAATCCTTAAAATACGCTTATCAGAAATATAAATGGACCCAAATCTCTGCTTTTTCGAAATGATGATGAAACTAAGTGAAAAAAATTGGGTGTTTGGATTTTTTAAAATATATTCTTAAAAAATGATTGAAAAAATCAGTTTCAGGCTTTGCCCTGGAGGAGGTGGGGATGGGAGGTGGGCTGGGGGGGAGGGGAGGGGGCAGGAGGGGGGAGAACAAGGGAATCTGTGGCTGATATGTAGAACTGAATGGTATGGTAAAATAAAATAAAAGGAAAAAAATCAGTTTCAATATAAAGAAATAGAAAAAGAAATCACTGAAGGTAAGCATTAGTCTTTAAAGACCAAGTCATCTTTACTGCTCAGATCTGAAAGCTCCATCAATATTAGCTAGCTTTCATAGTTCTGGAAGGTACTATGTATGCTACCAGAGGATAAAAGTAATCATTAATTATACACAGCTGTGAACCCTGCCAGCCTGCTGCTATAATAGTGACACAGACATCAAAAGATTAACCAACCACTTTTTCATTGGATTTAAGTTCCAATCCACAAGATGAATCTCATATCTGGCTCCATTATCAGGCAAAGAACCCATGGCTAAACAAGACATAGGCTGTAAGTGGCAATATGCGGACAGAAGATAGCCAGATTTTTTTGCCCAAATATCCTTTGAATGGCCTTTAGTCCAGTTGTTTACAGAGACTTTATTTCCCTTGGAAGCTCTTGAGCTGGGTCTATCTAGTCCACACTATTTTCAGCACTGTCTTCCAGGCTCCTAGTAGAATTGCCTGTTAAGTTATTTGTATAAACTTTGACTGATTTTTCTAGTCCAAAGTTCCAAAGTCGTCTACGTTTCTCCAAAAGCCAGCAGGGTAGGGTTCTTCTTAGCAACACCCCACTCTTTGCTAATCAACACCTTTATTAATTACTGGCAAGAAGAGGAAGTTTCAGCCCCTCTTTGGGGACTTTGCAGCCGAGAAGAACCAGTTGGAGCTACTTCGAGTCATGAACAGAAAGAATCCTCAGCTGGATGTGAAGAGGGCCACCAACAAGCAGATGAGGGAGGAGGACCAAGAAGAGGCTGCTAAGCAGAGGAAAATGGGCCAGAAGGGCAAGAGAAAGGGGGGCCAGCAGGGACCTTTGAGCAAGAGAAAGGGTGGACCACCAGGCCAGGGAGAGAAGAGGAAAGGAGGCTTGGGAGGAAAGAAGCTCCACCACCTGATATTTCTACCACACCCTAAAGCTCATGTGCTCAATATAGTGTGAATAGATGTTGATATCTCCCCAGGAAAACTTAATGTAACCGTGCCCCAAACAGCATCATATGTATGATACCAAAGAATGTTGTCAGCTCGAATGATAAGTACATCCTCTTGGACCATGACTGCAGTTGTCTCTGTGTGCCTGGAATAAAGAATGTAAGGATGTTTCTTTTGGTGACCCTGTGTTCACAGGCTTCTAAAAACTTTCAAAAGTTAATAACCTCAGCTTGTGATGTGTGGTATCTGGCCAATTACTGAGATGCATTCAAGGCAATTCCCCATTGTCTAATGACCCCTATATCTTCAGGGCCACGGTTTCTTTGGACAAAATTTTACAGGTTCCTTTTCCTTTTTGGACAAATGGCAATTTTTTAAAACTTTTGCTCTGCTTTGTGTTCACTGTTCTACTTGTAAATGACAAAAAAAACCAAATACATAAAAAAACAGGTATCTATTTGTACTATATCTAAATGCTGCAATGACATTTCCTCTGCAAAAGTAATTAGTTCACCAGTAGTCTATTGATAAAATGTCAACAAATTCTTTGTCAGAATGTAACATGAATTCTCTCTTATCCATTTATTAAAAAAGTTCTTGTTCTCCTCTGAGAACTCATGAGCTCAGTTTTACTACCCCCATTGCAATAAGAATTTGTTCTTTTATTCCAATGTCCCACCTGAATCACCCTAGAAATGTTTTAAAGATTCTTGAACCTGTACCTCCAAACTTTTCCAGGTTGTACTCACAAATCATTTTCAAAGAATGCCACACAACTCATAGACATTGTTGACACAACAATGATCTTGCTTGTCTGTTTAAATTTTCTGTTAGTGGGCTTTTCATCATTATAAAAAAATACCCAAGTTAATCAAGTTAAAGGAGAAATACTTTTTATACATTGTTGAGGGCCATGCTAGAGGAACAGAAAGCAGCTTTGGAACTCATGGAAAACAGCCCAGCAGTTAGCATAACCATGTTGGGTGAGCCTTGGAGAGACAGAGAACAAGGACTAGTATTGTGAGGACCTCCTGTTGTTATTGAGCATAGCTCTGCTTGTTGTCCTCAAGGTCACCACATTTCTCACAATCTATGAGTTGGATGAAAACTCTAAGGGGGTTTCTAGCCCCTCACTGGGCAATGTCACTGGTATTTACAATAATAGTGATTGACTTTTTCTAAGCATTGCTGCTTGAGCAGATTAATGATTCAACCACCACCCTTTGAAAGAATTTAGAGATGTAGATTATTAGTAAAGTTAGGTTAAGATGTCTTTGTTAATGGCTTTGATGTAGACAATCTTAGGGAACAATTTAAAGTTAGGAAGGCACACTGTTAATTATTGAACAAGTAATTCTTTGAGATCAAGGAACAAGAACAAAGACAGCCTAGTTATTACTAGCTGATGTGCTTTTCTTGCTAAAGATGGGTTGGTGACCAAAGGTGATGATCAATTTTTTTGTATTCATTTTTACCCTTGGCTTCCTGGTGTGATTTAATAAAAAATGTTGGTGAGTGGATGTGTACTCTGAGGATCTAAAGTAGAAATAACTGATTGTTTGTATATTTAAAAGTTTAGATTTGTGATTCTTTTAAGATCTCTTGTAAGATTACTTTTTGAGGTAAATAATAAAATGATTGATCCTTTCTTTGTAACCATAAAAAGCTGCCTGTCAGTACAAAGTAACTGGCTGAAATATCCTTGGCTTTTTAAAAACTTTGTTAATCATTTTATAAAAGAATCATTGCCTTGGGGTGAAAATTCTATGGTGGGAAAATTAATACAAAGAAAAATATTTAACTACTTGTGGGCTTCTAAGAAAAACATGTTACTTGTGATCATAATGTGATTTCTTCCTGTGTAAAGATTTCAATTTGTTTCTGGAAAATATGTAACTTGTGGTTGAGAGATTTTCTTGTGTAGAAATTTTTTTTCTTAGGTGGTATAAATGGGATAAGAAAAAATAAGAAGTAGAAGGAAAACATCAAGGAAGATGGAGGAGAACATCTGGGAAGATGGAGGAGAAGGACATCAGGGAAGGAGGAGAAGGAAAACAACTGGGAAGAAGAAGGAAAACAATGGGGTAGAAGAACAGAATAGAGAAAGAACAGTAGGAGCAGCAGAAAGAGAAAAATAAAATGAACAACTAAGGTTTGATCCTCAGATAAAGTTCCCATGTATGTCTCTGCATTTGTCCACAGTTCCTTGACTCCACACCTCCTCTTCAGTATCTGATCTGCTGATGGCTGGTTCCCTCGA